TCTCCGTCCACATGTTGACATGTTAAGAAATTTGGACCTTTCCTTTTCAATATTCTAATATCCCATAATAACGAGGGGCATTTTGGTATTCTAGTTTCCATTTGGTGATTGTAATGATGTTCTTATACGCTACGTTTAGACAAGGACTGTTTCAAATTTCCTTGGGAGAAATTGCTCTCGAAATATGTTTCAGTTTTGTATCTTTTTAGCTTTGCTTACCTTGAAAAGAATAGAATTTAATTGTCTGTGCTGTTGCCGGTGCTTGCAGTTTAGATTTCCTTGTGTTTAAGACAATGTCTCATATTTTCACTTTATTTCGTTTGCCATCTTCTCAGATTGAACAATTTATCTAACGTGTTTACTGATCTCCAGGCCGGTTGCTGCAAGCCATCAGATGATTGTGGATTTACCTATGTGAGCCCTATTAACTGGAGCAGCAATGGTACCATCGTCTCTTCCAACCCCGACTGCCGCACATGGGAGAATGATGCAAAGGTTCTGTGCTTCAACTGCCAGTCATGCAAGGCTGGACTGCTGGACAACATAAAAAGTAACTGGAAGAAGACGGCCGTCGTCAACATTGTATTCTTGATCTTCCTCATTGTTGTGTACTCTGTTGGATGCTGCGCATTCAGGAACACCAGGAGGGACAATGAATATTGGAAGCATTAAGCAATATCAGATATTGGCATGTAATGTAGAGAGTAGTTTAGCAGCTTGCTCTTCGTAGTGAAACCTATGTCTTCTTAACTTTCTTATGTTTATTAATTTCTTGTAAAGTATTTCATCACGTTTGGTTTAGGTTATTATAGTTTTTCAGCTGCTAGTCTTTTCTTCTTTTTACCTGCTTGTGCTGTGACATTGTTTTGGGAAGTCATCTTTGGCTTTATTTGTGTGTGCATGCATTTTGCTAAAAGATGTGTTTGGTTTTTTATGCTGGCTTGCTAGAGACGGCTACAAAAATCCGAAACAGTCATTTTCAGTCCACCATTTTCTTTGATGCATCCATTGATGATGGTTTGGGGAGTGATAAGGCTCTTACCGATTGTTCGGTGTCCTTGCCATATGTCATCTACGCAGTATACCCACTTGTACTCATAACACGTGTGTTATGGCTGCATGACATGTTGTTCACTTGCCTAGACGTGTGGCACATGTGTTCTGGCTGTATGACATGTTACCTAGATGATGATGTCATAATAAGGATAAATTTGTAATTAAGATGCCCTGAGAGGGGGTTCTTTTGCACACAACTTAGAGCACTTTCACCCATTTGTAATTAAGATGACCCAATATATATTTTTTCGTTGTTGACGTCATCCCTGATCAGCAAACCCAAGCAACAGCCCATGCTATTTAAAAGTTATAATTGAATACACCCCTCTAAGTATTTATTAAAAAAAATTCTAAAATTTTTAGTATTTTTTCAATTTTTTTAAAAAAGAAAAAATCATTGTTGACATCATCGTTGACATCAACAAACCTAGGCTATTTTTGTCTTCGAGCCTGCCCAAGCTTGTGGAGCCCACCAACTGCCCGGGCTACTGAAGCCTGCTAGAATGCGAAAATGGGGCTAGGGCCCCTTCCTGCCCTGGCCAAGGCTAGGCGGTAGAAGTGCTCTTAGATGCCATAGGGGTTCACATCTTAAACTTTTAGTCTACAAATCAATGCCATTTTAAATTAGGTTAGACCCTGTTGACTCAGCTTGCTCTTATTACAAAGGATTTCCATTGATGATTGTACTTATTATTTTATCTTTTGATTTAATGTATTAGAATTTTATTTTATTTGAAATTACAAATTTACTCTTATTATCAACAGAAAATTAGATAAATTTAAAAAATTTAAAAGCAATCGTTAAATTGGTTTTATTAATGACTTCGAGTGCTAAATTAGCTAACTTTTTTAGTTCAGAAGGTTAAGTTCAAAGAGGATTACTCCAATTCCTACTTTTTATCAACACATGGACGGGTATTGGAATTATTATAATTCCTAACTTCCATGCGTTTATTAAAATATAAGGAATAAAAAATTATGGGGGTTCTATATTAAAATCCGTAATTCAATACTTGAAAAATCATGAATTAGATTGATTTGTTGAAGCAGATTTTTGGTATAAAAAAAAAAAAAAAAGAAATCCCAAATAGGGCCTAAATAAAATAGTTAATTTTATACTCGCTCCCGACTTACTCGATTCATGACTTCTTCCATTCTAAATAAGCATGTCTCGTATTACCATCTGGTGACTGGCAACAAAGGCATATACATGATACATCACATCGTATAAGAATAAATACATATTGCTTAGACATACCAAAATTGTTAAGTTTTCCTCATAGTTTAAGGCATACCAAAATTGTTCCCAATGTCGACGTAACTGGTGATGGTAATATCAGCAATTGCCCGACATTTTGGAGTGTGCGGTCCACCGTAGATATGTGGCTAGTTTTGCAGATAAGAAAATTTGAGGACGACTTAAATCCTCCTCAAGAAAATATGCTATATATGACCCAAAAAAAAGAAGATATATGCTATATAAAATCATTTACAAAAGGTAGAGTGAGTGCTAAGGGTCATAGCTTTGGAGATTGATCGAAGGACCACAATTCTTCTTGGTTCAACTACCATCTTTAGTGGGGAACCTAATCATGCACAATTACATATGAAGCTTGTCGTTACTGCTATAGCCTCATTTGCTTTCATCTTTTGTTCAGAATTTCATGCAATATGTATATCCGTCAAAACACCGTTTTTGTACTTGAGCACACATTTGACTCTACTTTTCCACCTAAGTTCCACGCATTTTGTAGTTTAGCACACATAAGCCTAAGTAACTGCAATGGGCTTGTGGTCTATATATGCTTAAGAGTATTTATCTCTGTATTTGAGGTTTTAGATTTGATTTTTCCTTCTTTAATATCGTTTGCATTTAATAAAATCCTAAATTACGTCATTAAGAGAAATTATTGTATGGTAGTTGAATACGACCATGTGATAATTCGTGTGCGTGTGTTCACCCCAAAAATTGTGGTCAAGTACTTTAGCACTTGGATTTTTATCTTAAATTCTTTGGACCCCAAGTTGGGCTCAAGTAGATTCTCTAAGTTTTTAGTCTTAGTCGTATCACTGTTGGTGTTAAAAAGCCCAATAGAAAGAGTATGATTCAGAGAGTAGGTAAAGTGAGAGTCTTGCACCTTAAGAAATCTTAACTTCTCTTCAAACCATGGTGCTCTATATTAATTATTTTCTATGCCTAGTTCATTAAGGATCCACTTGTGTGATGATAAACTCAAAGTAACACAATTCTAAAGTTGAAATCGGACGAAAAGAACTGTTTTCATTGATCATGAAATAGTGTCTAAACATACATTACAGATTAAAAGAAGCAAATGTAGTCCGATCAGACTGAAATATAAGCAAAAGCACTATAATCGGATTGAGTATAACTCAAATCGGACGAATACAATGGAACTTTAAAATAATCACAGCTAGAATTGAACGCCAACTGGAAATTATACCAACCCAAGAAGGAGACAGAGCAAATAATCAAAATATTTCTCAGGATGGTCGACTTGAAATCAAAAAATGAAAACAACGAAGTTGCTGAGAAACTTGATACCAAGTTGATCAAGGTGAAGTATGTCTTTTAGAGAGATTGTGTGTCCCCGTTTGGCCTTGACTTCATGATAATATAGGGACTCCTGATGGCATTGTGACAGTATGCAAAGTAGCTCCAGTACTAGGGTACGTACAACCCTCCATCAATTATACAGTTATACAATTATACTTGTACTAGTTATTCCACGTACTCTCCATATCACATAACTATAAGAGATATTTAGTTATATACTCATTCTTAGCACTAATAATTATAGGCTTATTATCACACTCTTAAAAAAATGCGTGGAATATTCACTTGCAGTAGTATTGGATTTGGATGTGACTTGAAGTTGTGCAGATGCATATTCTTTAAAGGCTTATTATCATAAAACGTCCCTGACGTTTGCGAAATTATCACATTGCATCCCTAATGTTTTTTTGTATCATTAATGGTCCCTAACGTTAATACATGTACTCTTAAATAGTCCATCTGTAAAAAAAAACCGTTAAATTCAAGGGTATAATCGTCAAATCAATCCAAAACTATATATAAAAAAATTTCTTCCCTTCTCTCTTCTTTTCTTTCTTCTTTCTTCTTTCTCTCCGCCTGGCCCCGCTCACTCTTCTTCTTTCTTTCTTTTTTCCCTCCCTTCTCTCTCTCTCTCTCTCTTTTTGTCTCCTCTAGCCACCCAAACCACCCCCCCGACCACCAAAGCCACCACTCTATCTGCAACTCTCTCCCTGCCCCATTCCATAGCCCACCAACCCAGCACTCTAGCCACCCAAATCACCACCCCCGAGAGAAGGAAAGAGGAAGAAAAAAGAGAAAAAAAAAAAAGAGAAAGAAGGAAAGAAGAAAAATGAGGAACAAAGAAGGAAAGAAGAAAAAAAAAAGGGAGAGAAAAGAAGAAACAGCGAAGGAAAATAAGAAGAAAAGAGGAGGAAAGAGAGGAGAAAAAAAAAAGAGAAACAGAGAGAGAGAAGGGAAGAAAAAAAAAATTATAATTTTGGATTGATTTGACGATTATACCCCTAGATTTAACGGTTCTTTTGACAGAAGGACTATTTAAGAGTACATGTATTAACGTTAGGGACCATTAATGATACACAAAAACATTAGGGATGCAATGTGATAATTTCGCAAACGTCAGGGACGTTTTATGATAATAAGCCATAATTATATAAACCTTACACCATTTAATTTATATAAACACACCCAAGAAAAACCCAAAAAATGACAGCTGACCCTCTTGAATTTAATTTTAATTATTAAATTACTTTGATGCCCTATTGAGTGTTTTGGACTTTTTTATGAGGTTTTGGGGTTAAGTTTATTTTAAGAAATTAATGACAGTTCTGTAATTTAAAAGAAGTTAAATTTTTTTTGTTATATTGTAAATGAGTTTTGGGTGTGTTTCTAAAGTTTATTTCATATAGAGTTTTTTTTATATATAATTAAGACTCCTATATTGGGTATAATAGTGAATCTCTCTAACTATAATTACTCCCGCCACTTAGTGAATATTACTACCATATCCACATGACGTCACACTGAAAACAATGGTTGAGTCAGCTCCACAGTAGTAATCCTGACTTAAGCCCATTTTGCGGTAAAAAACGACTTGACTAAAAAGAAATGAATTACAAGCCTAAAAAGAACCAAACAAAACAAACAAGACCAATAGCATGCAGACTCAGAAAACAAGAACAACCGAGCCCAAGCAGGAAAAACAAAAGAACATGCAAAGAATCTAACTACGTAGGTGAAGTTCCAAACAGATATTACCAGGGGGGGAAAAACAATTAACCAAATGAGAGAGAAGACAAGTCCCAAAGACAAGAACCAGAACAGTGAAGAAGACCACACAACAAACAAAGCAAATCTTATGTTTTTTTTCTCGTTTCTCAAGGTGAAAATCTCAGTTATTTTCAGTCCTAACTAATTCAAAAGCTTTGATTAAAGGTTTTTTTAAAATAACTAAATAATGTATTTGAGGGGGTATTTTAATGAGGCTTATCTCACATTATATTTTAATAATTCGAAATTTTTTAAGTCTGTATTAATAAATTATTTTTGCAAAAATCACTCAAATTGGAAGGCTGTAAGAGCATGTCTAATGCAAGAGGCTAGGTGCTATTTTAGCCCCTCATTCACAAAATATAGCCTCTCAAATTTTTTGTGGTTCTATGGTGAGGGATAGGGGCTAAAACTCAAAACTTATTCTTTTAGTTTATTATTATTTTATGGACAAACTACAGTAAACTCCCCAATCTATAGGGTCATTTACGATTCCATACCCGATTTTGGGGATATTTACAAGTACACACACAACGTCGCGGAAAACTTACAAATTGCCCCCTTCGTTAGCGAGACCGTCAGGAAATCCGTTATCTGCCTACGTGGCGTCTAGCGAGATGAATTTTTAAGGGCATTTTCTGCATCTCATGTCCCTGGGTTTCGCGCCCAAAACAACACGTGGCCTTCTGTAATTAAAAAAAAACATAAAACCCCTAAATCAAGTTCCAGATCTAAGCCCCCACTTAGACCTAAGCCCCAAGTAGACAGAAGTGGTTGCCCAGGTTCCAATTTGAAGAAGACAAAGACGATCGACGATGTTGACGAGGTTGATAATGTCTGCAAATCGAACATGCGAAGTGGGCCAACCTATTTGTCACTGCGGCAATCAATGTTGTCTGACGACGTCATGGACTGACAACAACCCTGGGAGAAGATTTTGGGGCTGCGCCGATTATGGGGTAAGAAGAGGTTGTGCATTCTTTGAATGGTATGATCCATAGGTATGCGAAAGGTCCAAGACTGTGATATGTGGACTATTGAAATGATTACGTAAGGAAGAAGAGGAAAACCGAAAATTGAAAAAAGAGGTTGGACCTGCCTTGAAAGCACAAAGATTTCTACGAGCAAGTGTTCTGGGTTCTTGGATTTTTTTGATTGTGTTGTTGGGAATGTTAGTACTGGAATGGAAAGACTCTGGATCTTCCAAGAATGTGAAATTAGCACTTACATTTTAGGGTCTAGAACTTAGAAGACTTGGGTGATGTTTTTTGTGGCCTTTCCTTTGTAATTTCCCAAGTCAAGTTGTATGAAAGATGTTTATGTATGAACAATTGTTAGGCAATTTGGAAATACATAGATTGTTGATGTATGCACAATTGTTAGGCAATTTGGAAATACATAGACTGTTGATGTATTGTCACGGCTCGGACCCGGGGGTAGGTGGAAATCCCGCGCCCGATGCATGAGAAAATAACAAGTAAAATAAAATAAAAAGAAAGCCGAAACAGGGTTTAAAATAAACTTCTCTTATAAAAATAGATCCAAAATCTTACAACTTTACAATTAATAAATAAAGCTCTATCACACTCATCTAATTCAGCTTCAACCGATTTAGTCCTTGTCTTACCCACTAATTCATCTGAGGGATGAGCAACCACCGCTCAGTAAGTAGATTATGTAACATGACAGTCAAGCAATGCCGTTTTACACACTCTAGAAAATATCATGAAAAGATACACCAATCCAGATCATATCACATCATCCCTTCATATC